ATTACATTACATTACATTACATTACATTACATTACATTACATTACATTACATTACATTACATTACATTACATTACATTACATTACATTACATTACATTGGCTTATTACAACAATGGCTTGTATTCGTAACCTTCCATAAATGGCAGGTTCTTTTGCAAGTGTTGCTGCACCCACTAGAATAAAACAAGGCCGTATTTAAAACTAAAGTAGTGGTAGAGTTTTACCAAGCTATTATTAAACAAAATCAGCTTTATTTAGCTTGTTAATAACCACCTGGCTTTTTTAAATTTCTTAAAATACTTGACTTTAATAACAATTACATCAAAAACTATTAAAATATTTCAAGTATTTTAGACAAAAAGAAAGTAAGTAATCCGACCCTGTTAAAAAATGACCTGTCTCAGGGCCGGGTGGGTTCCACTAATTTATGATTTGTTTACCCTCTGGTTTACTCTTAACAATACGGGATTTTACTTAAAAGCAATAAAATTTTTAGTAGGTCTTAGGAAAACGATTTTATTATAACTTTATTTTCATTGTTGGTAAAAACTAGACATCTTTTTTACATTCATGTATCATTGTTATCACTATGAAATCTTGCCTTTACAAAGACTGCAGGGTGACTGTGAGATATAATAAAAATTTGCAATGAGGTTCTCTTGGCCATCCTGTATATATAATTTTACCACTTTCGGATGTTTTCAAAGCCCACTCTTGTCTCATTATTTTGTATTTTTGCAAGCTTAATTACCCTGTACTTGTTTGTACGAAAGTGTAAGCCGATGGCAAATACAAAAGGCGATTTAAATGATAAAAACCCTTATATTTGTTCGATTGATTCACCAGCAATACGGGTATTAATTTCTTGTATTGTATTATACGCATCGTAGTAGGCTTTGTCACACACATTTTATTTATTATGCATTCAAAAATATCGTGTTATTCTTGATCAAAGTAGTCTAAGATTCACAAATTATTGTAAAACAGACAGGCAATATGACATTTTAATTGCTGTCAACTTTATTTCAAAGTCATAGGCCACTCGGATTAAAAATTTAGTTGAATGCTTGATGGAATAGAAAAAAGATAAATTTAGAAATGCTTTCGTGTTTACACATGAATAAGTAAAAACACCTATACATGCGTAATGGTGGAGAGGGTATGCACCCTCTATTGTATTATATGCAAATCGGAGACAAATGCAAACAAGTGTAAGTGGGGTGAAAGTGACAATTGTGATTGTCGCTGTAGAAGAATTTAATTTTTGGGTTTGTAATTAAAATGAATTAATTAAATTTAAAGAATTATACATACAACATTACTGAATGTCATGTGTTTTAAAAATTGTCAAAATTAAAAATAATCGTTTCAATTAAAATAATTAGACGAATTAAATGGTTATTCTAGAAAACGTTTTGCATAATTTAGTCTGTAATGACAGAGCAAACAAAACAATTTAAATAGTAAAATATAAATTAATAAATAAGTCAATATTTGGACGAGTGATTTATTATTTAAGTGTCTGTATTTAGAACGCAGCCGAGATTAGGCTATTTAATAATTTTTTAATTAACCCATGAATTAATAATTGGGCGTAATTGCAATTATTGATTTTGCAAAATCAAAAAATTATTAGCCGAGGCAGTGCCGAGCTAACTGACTGTTTTAAAACATATTTGCCATCTCGTGTCTCTTCACTCACAATAAGTTATTCCAATCGGTTAACCGGAAACTCCCGACAAACCGACCGCCTTGCATAATATTCTCCACTCCCGTGTTACCAACATGACAATAATTGACCCCTAATTGCGATTGTTACGTCGCTTTCATACAATACAGGGTGTGAAAGTGATTTATCGAGACACATTCGTAAAAACAGTGTATAAAATAAAAAAACCTACGAGAAAAAATTGGCAACACAGCTGTGCCCCGCTAACTGGGATTTATTATATGCGTCGAAATTATTTAAATCGCGTAGGCGGCTGTAACTAGATTTTATATTGACGTAGTTACGTCACGTGATCGATGCGATCCAAAGACAACTTGATTTAGGTAACAACACCCTGTCAATTAAAAGTGATGGGCACTACATTCTGACTATTTTTACGCCACTGACATGACGTCATATTACAAAAGTCACGTGACGAACTGACCTGACTTGAAACTGTATTTATAAAAACCGCGATAAAAGTACTATTGTACAAAAAATTCTTAATATTTTTAACTTTCTGAAAGAAATACGCCACTGGAGCGGTAGGTGAAAAATCACATATTTTCATTAATTTTTAGGTCCAACTTAATAGCTTTTTGTAGACAGTTTAAATATTGAGGTCGTAGTTTAATTCGAGCGACCTCAGAGAGCAAGAATTTAATAGGCTAAGATTTTTAAACTATAAAACTCGTGTTATCTTCAAGACTATTTGCAACAGTAATATTGAAATTTTACTAAATTCAGAAATTAATATGTAGAAATATGTCAAAATGATGTCAACAGTGACAAAAAATATACATCAGCGTATTTTATAGACTCATAAAATACGTTGCTATTGACGACGTACTTTTATAGGTGAAGTAGGTACATTTTAACGGCAACATAAGAAACAGTATAAGGTATTAGTGTTGCCAAAAATGTCTTTAAATAGCTTTAGTTTGACCCAAAATTGAACTAAAATAATTCAATAAAAAATTATCACATTTTTGTTTTGTTGTAATGACAGTTATTTGACACTTAGTAGCATTCTATTTACAAATATAACTAGATTTATATTCTATCCATTTTATAACTATTTAGTAGGTATATGACAGAGAAGAGAGTAATGTCAGACACAAATGTTAAAATTGTTTTACTCTCATTTTGACGTACCTACGCGACGTACGCCACTGTCATATGTGAGTTATTTAATGCCCTGACATCATAAGTAAAGAAAACTGTCAAAAAACTAGATAAAAAGAAACATAAACAATATTTTTTAAATATGAAAACATCTACGCCACTGGAGCGGTTGGTAAAAAACAAAATTGACAGTTTTAAGTTATTTTTTGTTAGTTATAAACCCTATAATTTAATGACCTCAAAAACAAAACAAAAACTCGACGACAAAAAAAATGCCCCCATATTTATTTTTTTTTAATTTTAATTAAGACAGTTATTTGACAGTTAAAAATAAAAAGATTTATAGTTTAAACGTCAAACATAAGGTGGAAATTATATTTAACTGTCATTTTAGAGTACGCCACTGCTAACTGTCATTCAGCTGACAACGTTGTATTAGTAAGAAAACAAAAAAATTATATATTTACACTATTGAAAAAGACAAAATATACGATACTTATATCAAAAAAATACCAAACAAATTTATTTAAACTTCTGATCAAAGTGATCTATGACATTGAAGATAAGTTGGTGATATTGAAAAACATAGAACACAAGATATGTAAGTATTGACAACTCTTGCGTTATTCAACTTAATTTCAAAGTCACAGGCCACTTTAATCAAAAATTTAATTGTAACGTAATTCGTGTCTACGCCACTGAAGTGCTTCCTGGAAAATCACTAACCGGGAGGTTTAAAAAGACTGTAAGTTAGCAACTAAACTTAGGGAAAGTTTTTTTCGGCAGTTTGTAACACTGATTTGAAAAAAAAACAAGTTTGTTTGTTGTTTTTATTGAATTTTGAACTGTCAAGTGATACTGTCAATGGCAGTCAACAACGGCGAGGTAATTCAATTTTTGACATTTAAAAATAAAATTCATGATTGAAAACTCAAAAAGTCATTCTTGATCACCTTGTATTTCAAGTAGTTTTGGGAACGAAATAATTTTAAAATTATTTTTTTGAGTAAACAGCTTCAAAAAAATCAAAGAAAAGTGTCATATATTTATCAATTAAAAAGAAACCGTTGGCAAGAATGCAAAGAGCTAATTAACTGCCCGTACGCCACTGTCATCTGTCATTCAATTACGACAAACAAGCCCAGCTTCCTAGATGTTATTGAAAGCCTATAAATATGTGGTGATGGTCACGTGACAAGTGACGTTGTCCGTTTCTTTTTTGTTCCATCGTTGTAAATCCAGCGCCAACTACGCTCCTAAAAATTTTTACCAGTGTACACGTTCTCGTTATTCCACAAAAGCTGGCCGAGCGGAGAGACCGTCGGTAGAACGGTTATATACCATTGTGTACATAAGGGGAAAATAAATACATAGCCGTTATATACATCGCTTTCTCTCTCGCACACAGCTGTACAGAACGCATCAGTCTGCCGAGCGAGATCGTAGAGTGCTGTGAGTCGCATTTCGCCGTGTGAAAAACCGCCGCCGTCGCCGTCACCGACGAGCAGCCGCCTCCTGGCTCACTCTCGGACGCCCCCACGCCGCCTCCAGCAGTTTCCCACCGTCGGAATCGGTGAAAAACCGTCAAATGTGTGCGTGTTGAGGTTAGGTGCGTCGATAAGGGCGAGAATCGCTCGAGCCGGCCGTGCGATTGCTTTTGTTTTCTCGTTATTACTTAACTTAAATCGGGGTGCATCGAGTGGACTGTGGAAATGACCAGTGACGTTTTTCGCAAAACGAAAAGTGGATTTTCGCCGAGATTTGGGGGAAATTAGGGCCGATCGAGGTGAGTTTTTCACGATTTTTCACGGCTTTTCCGCCACGTGCCCTTTTGCGAGTGGTACCGGGGGTGACAGGTGACAGGGTGGAGGTTAGGGGACCGGAAGTCGCCGTCCCGGGGGACGCAAAAGGGCGCGATTTTAGGTTAGGTTTAGGGAGAGGAGGTAACGGCTTCTCTTGGAAAGACATAAAAACGATTATTTTTACTCGTTCATGTTTATTGAGTCGTCATTTGATATTCCAGTCAGAATAATTAGAAACCAGCCGGTGGTTGTTTAATGTTTATGTCTCGACGTGTGATCAGATTAGATAACGAGAAAATAATCAGAAGATTTGGTTGTGTTGATGGAAAATTTACTTTTCCGGGCGAAAACACGTGATTTGGTGGGTGGTTCATAGATTAGTCTCAAAGTTTGCTCGTTATGGGAGATCTCAAACACGATTATTTGCCCATTTGAGCACCTCCTTTATAGATTTAACGATTTTAATAGCCAAAAGTTATAAACCTTACGCAGGAAGTGTCGGAACTTAGTACCAAACCCGAAAACGAGAGCCCCATTCTTGATTCCTTTTCATTCATTTTTCACAATAATTTTACCAGGAAATCTATTTTGAAACACTGGGGTTTTTGTTCACATGGTCTGGTGTAAAATAAGGAAACTTATTTATTACAAGGAAAAGAATAAAAACTCTTGAAGCTAGTGAAATCACGCTTTCCAATCGAAATTAAGTTGGTAACATTGGTTATCAAATTCAAACGTCACACTTTTCCAGTTAATTGACAATTGGCATCTCTGTGACCTAACACAATCTGAAACTACCGATAATTTGGTGTTACCAACTTAATTTCAGTCACAGATCACTTTGATCAGAAATTTATTTGAAAACATGGTATAAGGTAACAATTTAACAAGTGGCTGAACATTGAAATTAAGTTGGCAATATTGAATAATGTTGGGGGATCTGGTCATGTCTCTTTGTTTTTCAATATTGCCAACTTAACTACAAATAAGTTACAGGAAACTTTGATCATAAATTTTATTGAATTAAAGTTTGACACTGTTTAAAAAAATGCTTAATATTCTTAGAAAAAGTGTAACAGTGCTGGTCACGTGACAACAGAAGAAACGTCCAAAATGTGGTATTTCACCAACAGATGGCATCCAGCTGTTTTGTTTTGTTTTCTGTCGAATATTGCAATTTATGTAACAAATTAGGTTTTTTCCAATTTTAAGAACTTTGGAAAATTAGTTTTTATTAAAATACAAAGTATTTGGGTTTGCGACCAATTTTTGGTTGTTTTGTCTTTTAAAAAATTAAAAAAATAAATTATCAAAAAGTTCGGGACGTTTTAATGTACACCCGGAGAAAAAATTATTTACCTGTTTTAAACACGAGCTTTGTTCCGCAATTTAACGTAACAACAGTAAAACTAATTACTATTTCAATAGAACGCAGAAAGATTAATTTTGAAATTGATAAACTTGTACTTTTTCTCCGATTGTACTATAGAAATAAACGAGTATCGTGAAAGGCAGTTGGCAAAATTTTTCTGTAGAAGTTGACGTTTAACAAAAACTAAATTGTCGAAATGGAGAATTGTATGTTTTCTCTGTAAAATAATAAAAGGATATTAAAAAAGACAATGCGCTTATAGTTTCATTTTGTACAAAGGCGAGCATAAAATTTTGGTAGGTAATGTCATTTTGAAACTTCATCTTTTTGTCCCTTGACAAGAGGGTATATTAGGGAATGACAGTGACTACTAAAATTTAATGCTCGCTATTGTACATGAAATCTGTCATTTAGCTAGTAAAAAATGTGCAAATTTATACATTCTGTAAACATGAGTGAAGAACATAAAAATAATTACAATTTCAACTGAGCGGAGCAAGAACTTGCTTCTATAATAAATATTGTATTTTATCTACAGTGTTAAATAAATTCTATCAAATTATTTATCCTAAAAACTCTATACATCAAATAAATAAAAAGAGAAAAACCGATTTATTCAGACAATTATGTTTTGTTTAAAACCGAAAAAACTTAGTAGATATGTCATACAGATTCCACTTTTTTGTGGAAACACAAATTAGATAAATTATTCATAATTGATATTTCATAAAAAAAAATATTGAAAATATGTGTACCTACAGATATACCTACATTTTTTTGTGTGTAAAAATGATAAATGTGACTTTTTCTGTAAGTTGTTACAGTTTTCTCAGAATATTTATTATCTAAATTACAGTTTTTCCACAAAAGAAAAAAAAAGTTGAAAATTTTTGCCTATGAAGAATTGCTATGACGTGACAAAGAAAGGATAATACAAAATCTTCTAAGATAAATAGAGAAAAAAAATGGTTGGCACATATTATAGACTTTCAATTAAACTTTTGCTCAAAGCCGCCTGTGATTTTAAAATTAAGTTTGCAACACTGAATGAAATAGAGACGCGTAGGATATATCTTCTGTTTGTACATTTTTTAAGGTTGCCAACCTAATTCAAAATCGTGATTGTAGATTATTCTGCTTGTCGGCAAGTTGGCAACCTTGACTATCAAATTCAACCGAATCAAGCTTTTATAGGCAATTTCCGTCGGCCGGCCGCTAACATAATTCATTGTTGCCAATAAATTTTTTGTTAACAATGATCTAGTCACTGGAAGAATTGTGTATATCACATATGAGTGCCAACTTTTCGATTAGAAGACAATTTCCATATACTTGCAAGTTGTTTTTTCTACCCTGTCCTTCGCTACATAAATCATCAGTCCGACCACTAGTACAAGGGTAGCTGGAAGTTTGTACGATGATAAAACTTGAATCGGGTCGGTTTTCGTGTCGATATTTTACCCTTATATGTCTATCGTGGCTTAACGCACAAAAGAGGATTCAGTTTGCTCGCTCGTTGCATCACTCGAGTCTACAACAAGTCGATGACGGGGAGGGTCATGCAGGGTCCAAGATACACTTCTTTATTTCATTCTATCGGAAAATCGATTCTCTCGAAATTTAGGTGTAATTTATACCGGGAGAGTCGGACTTAATTGCAAATTTGCCCCCACTAAAAGATCACTTTTTCTCCCGACTGATAATCTCAGTTCGTTTAGATTCACTTAACTGATGGAGGTTTTTATGGCGATTACTTCCAAGAGCTCGAGGCGTGCTTTTAGCAAAATAGAGCTTTCAAAATTGCTAAAACAATTTTTTCTACAGGGTGTTTTAGAAATACACGTAAAAGCAAAATGCCAAAGAAAATAAAATACGAGGAACATGAAAAAATGTTTTTTTTATCTATCTATAAGAATTTTAAAATATTGAGGTTTAGATTTTGCACTTTGACCCCATTTATTTCTCTTGGAAAAATTATTTTACATGTTCTTTTGCTACAGACTGTTAGAAGAGGAAGAAACAAAGAAGCTGTATCCTGAATTGTAACTACATATTTGTAGCTTTCATTGACAAAGTTTTTCTACCTTTACTGAATAATTATGGAAAAACATACTTACGGATTTGTCAACAAAAAATTACCACGTAGGGTTTGAATCTTTAGGAAAATTACGTTTTTCATGTTGTTTGTAACTAGAATTTTCAGAAGTAATTTTGAATGTCTAGGGTTGGTTACCCCTTGTTGTTGACGGTTGACGTTTTCTGTCAACCTGCTGTCAACTATACAACCTGACAGGTGAGTTAACCTAAATTTTTGACACCAGCTACGATATCTTTTGTTTATCATCACAAACCAACTTAACCAAATTTATGGCAACCTATTCACGAATATCCCTAAATCCTAGGTAGTAATTACTTGTTGATACGATAATATACACAATCATCGGTAACAACAGACAAAAAAAATGTCAAATGTCAATAAATAAATGTCAAAATTTTTTGACAGATACAATTTTTTAAACACATTTTTAATGTTCCTGGTATCTTATCTTACTTGGCATTTTTCTTTTATCTGTGTTATTGTAAAACACCTGTAGGTTTAAAAATCGTGTGGCAGGAATTTTTAATTCGAAAAATTGTTTTTTACGACATAATTATTTATTTTGTTTTCAATATTTACATTCTCGTGTTCTCAGGGGTGCGTTTTGTCCTTTTTTTTGCGAGTAACAGGTGAGAAAAAACACGGCCTACCGAGACCGATAAATTAGTTTTTTCGACACTAATGTTTTTATGATGACACCGACATTATCCCAATAGAATTCTCGACATTAATTTGAATTTCATTGTTTACGAAGTGTTTGTCTTTGCGTTTGGTTTGCCTTGGAAAAAACATGGCGTTAAACTTGTTTTTTTTTTCTAGTTTTGGTTGTATGTATGTATGTTTTATGGTCTCAGAGACTTGAAATTTTTATTTTTTAGTAAATTCACACTTTAAACTCTCCTGCAGACATTACTTATTTGGTTAGAAAATAAGTTTAGTTAAAGTGGTCTGTGAGTTTGAAATTAAGTTGGCAACATTGAATATAGTCGACACGTCAATTTCCATATCTTCTGTCGTTGTTATTTCAAAGTCCAGGCCACTGTGATCAGATCTTTTATAATATAAAAATTGATGTTTTTTCATCGAAACAAAACTTCTTAAAGAGCAATTCATTATCATTCGTAATCCGACAGTTTTGATTGATAACCGTCTCAATATTGTTTTCGTTGTTTTTTAATAGTCCACTTTTTTAGCATCATCGTCGATTAGCTCTCCCGATTATGACGTTATTTTCGCAGTAGAGATATGTCGATGGGGGTGAAACCAGAGGGATGTTCGTTCACCTACCCCTTGGCGCATCCGATGACTCATCTCTATATACCGGGTGTCAATCAATTAGTGACGTATGACGTCGTTTTCTCTATATAAATGTAATCGTACTAGTCCAGATGGCGTTCCGATCGTAAATTACACCGAAACGAGGATAAGAAACTTTTCCTTTCTCTCCTCCGTTACACGCCACTCCCCGTTATATTTGCTTACGATGCATTTTCGTATTGAAAACATCTGTTTTC